TGAGTTTATCTGCAGCATCTTTGCAGTGAAGCAGCTGGAAGCTGCAGATGCAGGTGTCTGATTCTCAGTCTGCAGTGGTTTCATTCGGAGCTGCAGGAGAGTTTTCCCAGCGGACGCCGTACAGAAACCACAGCATCATGTGTAATTAGCAGCATGGCGGCGCTAAGTGAAGGCTAATGAGCTGGAAGAATTTCATGAGAGCCACCGCTGTTTACTCCAAAAATGCTAAAGCTCGGGCAAAACGAATCCCTGATGGATAAATTATATGAAACGGAGTTCTGAAGAAATAATAAGCAGATCAAAGCAGGAGGAGAGAGGAGAGACGCCGCTCAGCCTCTGAAACGTGTCGAGGTTTGTTGGGAATAAAAAAAAAAGAAAAAAGAAAAAAAAACGCCTCCTGCTTTATCTTCTGCAGCAGCTCAAGTTCAGCTCGAGTGTGATTTTACTCTTTATTTTCATGGCTTTCCAGGTTTTATCGCTTCCTTAGGCAAACTTGGTTTTCAGAGTAAATTTCCTGGAATAAAAAGTCTTTCTTTACTGTTTTTACACTACGGCTGCTCAATAAAGTGGGGCAAAAGTCCAGGCTGCACCTGAACGCACCACAAACCACCATGAAAACCGGAGAAGTGGTTTAAGAAATGAGAAGATGCCTAACAACGGTCATAGATATTTCCTGAATGACTGCAACTTGTGCTTGTTTATATTGAGCAGTGTGTAATTCCTGGATGTGTTTGATTTTACAGGCAGTGGATAACTGATGGATGACTGTAGGTTGTGCTTGTTCATAAGTGGTAGCAAATTCCTGATCAACGGTAGCTTTTTCTGCTTTTCAAAGGGCAGCGGTTCATTCCTGTGTGCTCCAGTATGTGCTTGGTGGCACAGGGTAGTGGATAATTCCTGTGTGCTCCAGTATGTGCTTGGTGGCACAGTGTAGTAGATCATTCCTGGATAACTGCTGTTTGTGCTTATTTATCAGGAGCATTTTTGGATGATCCAGCTGGTTCTTTGAGGTGCAGGGTAGTAGATAAATCATGGATGCTCCGGTTTAGGTTTGATGGTACAAGGTTGTGGACAATTTGTAGATGCTGTTGCTTGAGTATGGTATACAGGGTTGTAGATCATTTCTGGCTGCTCTTACATGGTAATAGATAGTTCCTGGATACCCCAGCTTGTACTTGTTGGTACAGGGTGGCAGATAACACCTGGACGCTCAGTTTATGCTTGTTGCTGTGGCGCAGTAGATAATCCCTGGAAGGTCCACCTTGTGTTTGGTGGTACAGGGTACTGGATAGTTTCCAGATGCTCCAGCTTGTGAATGTTGGTACATGGTAGTAGATAAATTCTAGATACTGCAACTTGAGTATGGTGCTCCAGGGTAGATCATTTCTGGATGATCCAGTTTGTACCTGTTGGTACAAGGAAGTCGATGATTTCAGGATTCCCAGTTTCTGTTTGGTGGTAGGTGGTACTGGATCATTTCACAGTTTATGCTTGTTGCTGCAGCGTAGTCGATAATTCCTGGAAGGTCCAACTTGTGTTTGGTGGTACAGGGTACTGGATATTTTCTGGATGACAATCGCTTGTTCTGTTTTGTTTTTTTGATAAATAATTATGGAATGACTCTAGCTTGTACATGTCGATGCAGAATAAGTTCTGTATGAATTTCTAGGGCAAACAATAACTCCAGGATGACTGCATCTTGTTTTTTTCTTACACAGGAAAATCCAGGACAAACTACAGGTTGGACTTCTCTTTAGAACTTTTAACAAAAGGCAGCAGATAATTCTTGCACGACTACAGATTGTATTTCTTCATACAGGACAGTTAATTAATGTAAGGCGTGAAGAGACACTGTCCAGTAAATAGACACATTCAGGTGGGAAATAGTTTGCTCTATTTTTTTCCGTTTTTAGAAGAAATCTCTTCAAAATCAAACCATGAATGGCCAAACGCTGGACACTGGACTGATGTTTGTCACATTCAGATGTTTCTTTATGCGTTTCAGTGGCCGAGGATGGAGTGATGTCACCAGTGATGTCATCCGCTCCCCTCCTCCCGCCGCCGAACAGTTAAATAATCTCCTGGCTGTTGTAATCCTGTGACATAACAGGCTGGCTAAACGCCTCCTGCAGCGTTTTCTCACAGACTGTGAATCTGGACCAGACGGCTTTAAAACACACACATGTACACACACATGCACCGATGCACAAAAGACACACACAATGCAGCTGCCAAGACTGCTGGAAAATACAGATCTGACCGGTTCAAATGAATGAAAAGTTTCTTCCAAGAGGAGAAACACTCGGAGCTGCTCCGAATGAACAACAGCCGACACTGAAGTAAAGCGCAGTTCTCATGGAACAAACAGAAAATATACTGCAGATTTAACAACTCAACACTGACACTGAGCTCCACTAATGACTCAGTGTGTGTAAAATGTAATGCAGACACACCACACATCACAGTCTGGCTGAATGTCTGAAGTGCGTTGCATTGTGGGAACAGCTGGATCTGCAGATATAAACTCCCAGTGAACTCTGCAGATTCACACGGAGTAAGAAGGATTTTTGCTTCTTCAGCTTAACAACATTTCAGACACAAACAGTGAATAAGATCAGAGCAACAGGTTACATGAAGAACTGCCAAGATATTCGTTTGTACTTTCCAGTTTCAGCATCTTCAACAAATTATAGCTGATTTTGCTTTTTAGTCACTGATTGGGGCTGTATCAAAACAAGACTATTCAAGATAATTCACTTCCCAATTAGAAGAGGTCCTAAACTAGCAGCAAAAACACAAAATGACCTTAAAGAAACACAGAATGACACCAAGAAAACATCCCAAAAAATGCAAATCATTACTAAAAAGACCCGTAACAATTGCAAGAAGTCACAAAATGACACAAAAAGATACCAAATGACCACAAGTACGAGGTGTGTCGGAAAAGTTCCAGGACAGAGAAGGCTGGGAAAGTGCGTCAGACTCCAGGGGGATTACTTTGAAGGGAAAAACTTGTATTTTGTGGGTTGGGTTTGAAATATATCTTTTGTGACACCAGTCCTGGAACTTTTCTGACACACCTTGTAAATATGAAAGGACACAAGGAGACAAAGAACAGCAAAAATCTGCAAAGTGACACCAAAGAATCAGAAAGAGATGCAAAAAGAGACAAAAAATATCAACAAAGAGACACAGAATGACATGAAAACAATGCAAAATGACACCACAAAAATGAAAAAGTTGCTGACAGACATAAATGGTACATGGACTGCACTTGTATATCGCTTTTCTACCTTAGCGGCACTCAAAGCGCTTTACAGTGTGTTTCTCATTCACCCATTCATGCACACATTCATACACCAATGGCGACAGAGCTGCCATGCAAGGTGCTGCCTGCCATTGGGAGCAACTTCAGGTTCAATGTCTTGCCCAAAGACACTTCAACTGTGGAGGGGCCAGGGATCGAACCACCAACCTTACAATCAGAGGACAACCGCTCTACCACCTGAGCCACAGCCGCCCACAAAAAGATGCAAAAAAGATACACACAAAAAAAATAAAATGCCCCCAAAGAGACTCAATGACACCAAAGAGATGCAAAACTAAACCAGCAGAAATGCAAACATCCACAAAAACTATTCACAGACGCAAAAAAAAAAAAAAAAAAAAAACACCAAAAAGCTCCAAAATGACTCCCTCAAAGATGAGACACAAAATGTACACTGGGAGACACAAGGACACCAAAAAAAGCTAAATTAAACCAACAGGATTGAAAAATCCACCTCAATGACACTAAAAATCTTACAAGTTAAACTACAAACCAGCAAAATGACACCAAAGAGGTAAAAAAAAAAAATCTCCCAAATCATACACAAAAAACCCACAAAATAACCACAGAGGAGCACATAATGACCACAACACACAAAAAGACACAAAACACTGGCAAAGAGACACAAAATGACACAAAGTTTTGCCAGTGAGACACAATATGACCACAAAGGGGCACAAATTCACCACAAATTACAAAAAAAAATGCTCATGAAGAAAATGTCTGTGACCCAAAATGACCCAAAACGCCTTCAAACAGACCAAAGTCAACCACAAAGTGACACTAAAGAGACACAAAAGGACTTCAAAGAGACAAACTCTCTACAGCAACACATGATGACCAAAAAGAAATGAAATACGAGTCCAAAATGACACAAATTTACCCCAGAGAGTCACAAAACAACAAAAAAAGACCAGAAATGACCCAAACAAGATGTGAAATGCTACAAAAGCAACACACAATGACCTCATGAGAGACAAACGACCACAAAGAGGCAAAAAACAACATCAAACAGATGCAAAATGCGTCCAAAGAGACACGAAATGACCTTAAGGAGACTGGACTGGCGTCACAAACACCTGCACAGGTGTACAGCCTGCTTTCTCAGTCTTAACTGTTCTTCCTAAGAGAACACAAGTGAACCTTTAACACGTCTGCAGTTCAACATCTCAACTTCTACACAGTTTCACAACAGTCCATCCAGTAGCTGCTGAGATATTTGAGTGTGGATCAGACTGGAGCAGCAGCAGCATGAATAAACCCTCAGACATGTGAAGCTTGAGCTGATCTTTCTCTGTCTTTAATGAAATATTCCACATTCTGCTGTGCACTGTTCAACATGCTTTAATCACAGTTTCCTCTGACAGAACTGAAAAACACGGTCAACTTTCATGTGTCACATCCTCATCTGGTCCACTGCACACATCCTCTCACTCCAACATGTCATGCACACAACCAGGGAAAGTGTTGATACCCAGGCGTGAACAACAAGCCTGACACCAGGTGTTCTCAGCTGACGGCAGGAGGTGAGCCCGAGCCGCGCGAACCCCGGCGGAGTGGAGCATCTCCCCGGATTAAAACGCACAGCTTTGACTGGACTCATGTGCAGCGCAAACACAAAACTCTGACAGCGAAAAGTAACGCAACGCGGACGCACGCAGCTTTAACTCACCTTTCATGGCAGAAATGACAAAATACATATTTATAATCCAGAGTCATGGAGGAGGAACGAGCAGCGGCGGCGTCCTGCGTGAGATCAGCAGCAGCTCTGACAGACTCTCAGCGCTCCGCACCGCATGAGGAGCCACGTGACTCTGATGTCATAGCACAGGACCCGCCCTCTCGCTCTGACGGACACAGCTCTCAGCCAATGAGAGGACAGAGCAGGTGCCGAGCAGGTGCGGGATGTTAAATGACCACAAAGTTACATGCAACAACCACCAAGAGACAAAATGACAGCAAAATACTCATAAAACGACACAAAACGACTACGATCAGCCGTAAAATTACACTATAGACACTCAGAATGACCCTAAAGAGACACCTAATGGTACAAAATAACCAAAAAGACACAAAATGAAACCAATTTGACATAAAATGATGTGACATAACCATAAAGACACACAAAATGACAAAATGAACATGCATACAATGGTACAAAGACAAAAAATGGCCACCAGACAAAATGACATCAAAGACAAATAAAACGACACAAAACGACTACAAACAACCATAAAATGACGCCAAAGACACTCAGAATGACTCCAAAGGGACACAAAATGACCCCAAAGAGACTCAAAATGGTACAAAATGAACAAAAACGGACACAAAATGAAACCAAAGAGACATAAAATAATGCAAAATAAACATGAAGACAAACAAAATGACCATAAACACACATAAAATTACCACAAACGGGCATAAATTGGCACAAAGACAGAAAATGGCAACAACTAGACAAAATTACACCAAAGAGACACAAATTGATTAAAAAGAGACACCAAATGACCTAAAACTTTAAAAAAAAAAAAAAAAATAGGCACAAATAGATAGAAAATGACACAAAAGAGGCACAAAATGAAACCAGAAACAGAAAATGATGTAATATAACAATAAAGAGACACAAAATGACCACTGATGGCCAACATGCAACCAAATGTTAATACAGACGCAACATGACCAAAAGCACACATACAATGATGACAAACAGACAGAAAATGGCCACAGAGACAAAAATACATCAAAAATGCACAAACGTGACACAAAATTACAAAAAATGTCCATGAACGACCCTAAAGAGACACAAAATTACACAAAAGTGACCATAAGGAGACAGAGATTGTTCACAAAAAGAAAAAAAATGTCCACAGTGACACTCAAAATGACACAGAAGAACATACAGCTACCTCATATAGAAAGAATATGTCTCCAAATACAGAAACAACACCAAAGAGACACAACACAATCCCAAAGAGAAACTAAATTAAATATAAAGACACAAAATTACAAAAAAAACAAAAACAAAACAACCACAAAGGGGCACAAATTGACCACAAAGAGACAGAAGAAAGCTGCAAAACACTAAATGATATCAAAGAGAAACAGAATGACGATAACGAGACCAAGTAATGACGTGAAGGAAACACAAAATGACACGCAATGGATGAAATGCAATGGTGTTTTGTGGTCTAACTTCCTCTCTCCTGATGTAACACAAAAATGGCACAGAGATGCAAAGTGGCACCAATGGGACACTAAACAACCACAAAATTCAACCTAAAACCACAAACTGATCACAAACAGACAAAACAGTAACACAAAAGGGCCAGAACAACAACAACAAAACGACCACAAACAGAGACACAATTCTAAATGTGATTTAAAGAAAGGATGGTTGAGTTCATGCTGCTATTTGTGTCTCGCTTTAGTATTCACTGAGTTTTCTCTCTGCCATTAAAATTGAGCTTTCCTCTTCAGGACAGACTCGCACAGATCAGCATCACACAAAAAGAAAAAAAAACCCAAAAAAAAAACCCCACACACCATGTTTGCGCTGCCGCCCTCCTTCACTGCGGTTCAACAAAACAAACGGTTCAAAGAAACAAGAGGGAGGAGAGACACGAAGAGGAAGGAAGAGAAACAAACTCTGAGAGAGTGAGAAAAGAACACACAACTAAAAACACAACCAAAGAGGAAGATAACACGGCGAGAAAACCACTGAGAGACGCAGCTTCAGCAGAAATCTGTCAAACGCTCACATCCAAGCATCCAGCAGCACAAATCTAAACATATCCTGCAACAGAAGAGAGGAAAATCACTGCTCACTGTCAGAAAGGCAACACTTTCACACACTGCATGTACAACAGACTGTTCATCGGCAACATGAAGAAGGTAAAAATCTTCTACATCCACTTGATTTTCTACGATCGGGTGCTGCTGCAGGTCCCTAAAAGCTCCCTTCACCTTCACCTTCAGCCCAGAGGATGCAAACGGCACCAGCGCTCTGGAAAACAATGTTGACTGAAAATAACTTTAACAAGCGAAAAGAATTCCAATGAAAGAAACAAAAATGGACGTTGAGCATTTTTCTGAATCGGAATCTTTTTATATACGTTTGTCAGTTTAAAATATATCTTTTATTTCACTCAGTGCAGGAATAAAAACATATTTTTAACAGTTTTTGATGCAAAAATAAATTCAATTTTAAGCTTTTCTAATCAACTCAATGTGCATAAGTGTCCTATAAGACAAGATAAAATAATTTTATTGACTCCACATCTGGGAAATTAACATGTTGCAGTGATTGGATATAAATGAGGCCTAGTAAAAACCCCAAAAAATAAAGTACAGTAAGGCTAAGAATAAAGATTTTGCACTTGTTGCGATGACTTGAAGTTAGTCTGCAGTGTTTGTTTACTACACTTGGTTGGTTGTTGATGCCCAAGGGGGCAAAAGAAACCAACTAAACAGAGAATCTTATGAAAAGAGGGAATTAGGTTTTCTGTGTTTCATCCAAAACTTAACATTGATTAAATCTAAAATAAATACTAAAATAACAGATGCCTCCCTGTAAGTATGAAACCAGCGGTGGTTTATAGCAAATGTAATCTTCCAGATAAACATACTGTCGTTATTAAGCTCATCTAGTAACAAATAATGATATAAAGCTTCGTCATGTTTGCCTGCTCACCTGTATAGCTCGATCTGGACCCTAAATATTCCCAAACAGAGTCCTGTTCCCCACAGGTGATCACCATCTTTCTCAGCTCAGCTGCCGGACTTTATCATCACTAGCTTCAGGTGGTTGGTATCGTGCGAATCAAATTAATCAAGTCAATCCAACAGCAGCCTTTTAAGATCGCAAAGCATTCTGGTTGTTGTAAGATGTTCCACTTTCAAGCAACAGGGAATAACACAGCACTCTGTCTGTGTTTTGAAAAATAATCGCACAGAAATCGCACACTGTTTTAACCCTGTGAACCTGAGAACCCGCCGATGGTGCAATGCCTTTTACAAAATCACCAAAACTACACTATTTATAATCAGAAACTGTAAAAACAGAAACAACAGTTGGACTTTCAACTTTTCAACAGCCTTTGAACAAATTATGTGTGACATGTGGTTTCACTGGGAAATTTTACCAAACCTACTTCAAAAAAAACACTTCATTCTACGTGTTTCGTTGGAAAAAACAAAGTCAGAAGGGGCTTTTGGGGGGGGGGGGGTTGCACCACATCCTGAAAAGAAAAAAAAAGAAAAAATTCTGCAAAACTTAATCAACTAACTGACTCAGCTCTGACCAACAGTCCAGTGACAAAAAAAATCTGGGACTATTTGGTTGAACTGCAGGCGATGTTTACACAGACTAGAGAGAAGGCGACGAGAAAAATAAATCACACTGGATCAATAAAATAAAAGCAGCACGGCTCATAAACTGTACAAAAAGGAGCACGTTGTCAGCAAATGAAGATACATTCAGCATGGTGAAGCGTTAATGTGCAGAGTAGTGTGAAAAACACCAAGTTTGTTGAGCCTGTAAAACTGTGGATGGTTGAATACGTATTGCATGTGGAGCCCCCTTTTTTCCAGTATTGGTAACATCTGTGGGAGTAGTTCAATTTCCAACAAGTTTCCTTTAAGGCGACGACTTTACATTGCAGTAAAAGTGAGCCCACAGTAAGTTAAAATAAAACAGCAGCAAAATACTCCCAAAAGCTGCTTTAAATTCAGAGGGTTAGGAGTTATAATTTTACCAAGACCCTGCCCTCTCCACAGTAACAGTGTGATATCTAAGTGCCTCTCCTGCTCTCATGTAGCTTCGGTGAATCTGTGCGGTGCAGAAACACAGAAAACTTCCTCCACAAAGCAAAGTTAAATAAGACGCATTTCAGCAGTAACTGAAAGGACTGAAGCTAACAGGGCACTCCACTGAACATCCCACTCTGCTTCATAAAACAAACCCCGACTGAGCTGCGGAGCATCAGTGAAAACGATTAAGTTCCCTGAAAACAGCCGTGCTGAGTAAATATCAGAGTGCTGCAGGCGAGAACGACTCCTGCCAGCAGAGAGAGGAAACTGAGGAGCAGCAGGAGCTTCATTCTTCCTCCAAATTGGCAGAACAGGGGGATGATTTACGCTTGGAAAGGCTGGTCGACTGTCGCCGGAGCTCTCCGCCTCCCCTCATCAGACCCCGTCAATAGATTCACAGCAGCACGTTACGAGTTGTTTGGAAAATGCCTCCACAGCGCCTGGAGGATCAGCGTTCCTCCCTCCGATCGTCCCACGCACGGTCGACTGCAGGAGGATCTCACATTCATTATCCATCCTTATCAGCTCTAATGAGAGAGACTCCGCGCTGGCAGCAGTCCCCCGCCACACATTTGTCCTCATCTATCCAGCACACTCACACTTCTTACATGTTTTACAGTAAAAACTGGTTGGAATGTGGAGAAGAATAACTTTCAGAGCACCGCGGAGATCAGAAATTGCATCAAAAGCTCATCTAGTGAATCAGCTGAGACCTCCTGCCCTCAAGAATCTCAGTTCAGCGGTCAGTTCAGGCATATTACAAACACAGAAAGAGCTTCAGCGGTGTCTAGTCATGCAAATAGTTTGGATTTATGTACGACTGAGGCGGCGGAGTTTGGCTGTGGAGGCATTAGAATGTGAGCAGGCCTGTCAAAGAGCTCAGGACTGTGGGAAGTGACTTTAGCTCTTTGGCTAATGAAGCAGAAGTTGTGAGCGAGCCAAAGCATTAAAACCAGAGTTAACTGAACTTTGGTG